TAGGCCAAACCTATAAATCAGGTATATAGGTTGGAATCTCCATCTGCAAACTCAAGTGCAAGAAATATAACTTCTACAATTCAACTTTATTTCATTTTACCAGGATGGCAGAAATTTTGTCTTAGTCAATTTAGTATCTTCTTCTCTTTCTAATATTTACATAAAGCCAAGATGTTGAGATGAAGCTCATTCATCTTCACTGTCACATGTCCCTTCAGTCACTTGATACGGCATATTCGTAAAGCACTTAATAGTTACACAAATTATTTTTTGATGTGATTTCTCACTTAATCTTCAAAACAACCTTAACATATTTTTATCTATTTTAAAAATTAAGAAATTGAAATTAAGGGTGTCACATACTTGTTCAAGACATGCCTTTTGAAGAGATTGACTTGGGACATGAACCCAGAATTTCTTTGTAAAATTCCAGAGCTTAGTCCACACATCTTGGTACATTTTAATATTTAATGATGATGATGAAGATGATGATAACTGCTGATGTTTACTGAATATTAACTATTTGCTAAGGGCAGTGCCAAGCACTGCACGTAATTTTCTCTCATTTAATCTTTCCAAGAACCTTAAGAGGCAGGTACAACACAAAAGCACAGAGAATTAGCCCAAGGTCACATAGCTAGTAAATGCTAAAGCCAGGATGCACACTCAGGTGTTTCTACCCTGGAGCCTATCCTGTCCTCTTAACTACTATCTACGGCTTTGCATGTTTTGCTCCTTGAAACTCTGGCCTGTTTGAACTGGGCCAGACCTTTGGACTCAGCCAAATTAATGTTGTCTCATAAACAATTGTTTGTTAAACTAACAGAAGAGCAGACATCCTGACGACAAGGACTGATGGTTGTAGACTCTCTATCTGAAGACAGAATCAGAAACCAATCACATAGCTAAAGAGTAACTCAGCTTTTACAGCACAAATGGAAACTTTTCCTTCTTTCCATGTAATTCTTTCTTTCCTTTTCTCACAAAAACTCATGCCTTTACCATGTAATTGGGATACTATTCCAGTTTCTGCCTGGATCTGTGTTTGTCATATTGCAATTCTTTGATTCCAAATAAATACTTATTGTTTCTCATTTGGACTTTTTAATTTAGGTTAACAATCTCAAGAACTCAATTTAATCACAACTGCAAATATCTTTCTGCCATGTAGGGTAACACATTCACAAGTTCTGGGGATTAGGATGCAGACATCATTGCCAGGCGTTATATAGCCAACCACAAGTTTTCATTTTCTTGGGAAAAGTCTCCAAGAATGTGACTACTATTGGTAGTTGCATGTCTAATTTTTAAGGAAATTATCCAACTCTTTTCCATAGCGGCTATAATCCCTCCAACAATGTTCCAGTGATGCAGTTTCTCTACAATCTAGCCAGGATTTGGTGCTGTCTTTATTTTACTCATTCTAGTAAGTGGGTAGTGATCTTATTGTGGCTTTAATTTACATTTCTCTAATGGCTAAAGATGTTGAACATCTTTTCATGTGTTTATTTGCCACCCCTATATCGTCTTTGGTGAAATACCTGTTCATGTCTGGTCTGATTTATTTTTCGTGCAAATAACCAGAAGTTTTTCAGAAACACTTTCACCAAGACTAATAACAGAATTTATGGAGTCCTTGGGTAAAGTGTTGACCTGTATCTTTGAGAAAACTTAAGTACAATGGTTCTAAAACTTTAGTGTGCCTCAGAATTACCTGTAGGGCTTGACAAAAACCCCGGAGTTTCTGAGTTTGTAACTATGGAATGGGGTCCTAGAGAATTTGCATTTCTAACAAATTCTCAGGGGAGCACAGATGCTCTCCTCCCAGGACCACACTTTGATACTCGTTGTTTTAGGGACAACTTAGGGCTACTTGATGTTTTCTGTTGCTCTCTACTTGTCATTGTAAATTCTCTTGGAGTAAACAAGAGAATCAATGAAAAAGTTGTGCTCCAAAGTGAAGTGCTCCAGGGGCAGGGGGAGACTGGTGCATGTTAAAAGGACACACACAAAATAACCTGATCCCCCGGTGGCCAAAGCTTGGAACAACTTGAGCAACAAAAATAATGACAGTACTGGATTATATAACCCAAAGAATAATAGAAATATGGGAGAAAGGACAAAACTTTCTTGCACATGAATTCCAAATAATACATGTGGGTACTCCAGGAAGTGGAGTTTAAATTTCTTTCTTGATTGAAGGATCGATTTAATGACTCACCTCCCAAGACTAGAGTATGGAAAAGTGGAAAATAGTAACTTTGCCACAGAGAATCCTGGCAGACACTACTTAGACCAAATGACTCAGATTGACATCACCAATAATAAGTCATTTTGACGTCAGGTGCCCCTTGATATGTGATGAGAAAGGCACCTCACCTGAGCCTTTCTAAAAGCTATAACCCTAGTCAAGTTGTGAAAAAGTTATCAGCCTATAACTATTTAATCTTTCACTATCCATTGTCTTTTTCGTTCTCAGTCATGAACCTTATGATTTTTAGCTGAGCGCATGGCCACCCATAATATATCAGTTTGTTTCCTTCAACTAGGTATTTTCATAAGACCGTGTTCCAGTTAGTAGGTGGTAGGCAGAAACAGAAAATGCAATATTTACAAAACATCCTTAAAGGAAAGAGATGTGCCTTTCTTCACCTTGCTTTCTGCTGGTGGGAGGGATTATGATGGCTGGAAGTTGAGCAGTCATCTTAGATCATAGGTGGAAATGCTATCATGAGGACGGTGGAGCAAGAGGCTAGAAGGAGCCTAGTACCTGACACTGTGACAGTAGCCTAAGCCCTGGACTGATGACCTCAAGATTTCTTTTGCATGAGAGAAAAACAAGCCTCTATCTTAAGTTTTCATCTTTTGGATAGTGACTGTGATTTTGGGCACATTTCTTAGCCTCACTGTGTCACTTCTTATAATAGTACATAATACACAAGGATGCTGTGAGGATTAGTACCTGACATATAATGAACATTCAGTGAATATAAGCTATTACCACCATTCTGGGAATTATTTAGTCAAGGAACCAGAAACTAGTCCTATAGATAGCACTGCTTGTTGAAGCTTACTCTGTGCCAGAAATTGTACTTAGCTGATCTATTATACTCATGAGCAAACCAAGGCTTAGAAAGTTTCAGTTATACAACTAATTTTAGCCAGCCAGAATTCAATCTCAGAATTCAATCCAAAGCCATGCTTTTTAACTTAGATAATTAAGGCTCAAAGACAGGCCTGCAGGATTACACGGTTTCCTTTTGTATACTCTCAGTTTCCCCACTCATAACATGTGGTAGCAAACTCTCTCAAATTAAAAGGTCTGTATGGGAATGGAGGCTGGGTAGACTGGAGAGATTAAGAGCGAAACTGGAAGGGTGGGGAGGTCTTGGGAAATAGCAGGCAAGAATGTCAGCTTGAACTGAAAATCACGCTGAGTCCTTGGGACCTGTGGCGAAATGGGAGAGCGTGGGAAGCCGACCAGACCTGAAAAACACCTGATGATTTTTATGAAACAGTGAACTCTCAAGATAAGTTTCAGTCCTATCCTTCATTGCATTAAAATTCTTGTTGCATTGTTAAACACAAAATTAGTCCTATAATTCAGCAATTTTACACTTTTCTAAATTATCGCCTATTTGATGGCTTCGGAAGAATTTGGTCAGTATTTCTCTATAGACTACACCATGCCTGTTAGGCAAGGAATCTTTGCCTTTAATGCAAAGATGTTATTTCAACAAATTTCAAAATGTTGCAAATCTGCACTTTGGTTTTGCCATTTACAGAAAAGTAACTTTACCAGTTTCTACTGAAACTTTAAACATCTCTCCTTTTAAGACTGAAAAACACGTCCTGCAACTTCGCTTAGCTTTCCCAAAGTAACTTTATTCATCAAAATCAACTTAACGTCTGGGGAGGGGAACACAAGTCTATGAACTGGGCGGCAGTTTGCTCCACAGCTTCCGGGTGAAGTGAGTTATTCCGATCATGTCCCTGGGGTTTGGAGAGTACAAACATTGGTCGGCGCACCTCCTATTATTCGCTTTTAAGTGTCAATGCCCAGAGCTCCAACCCCATCGAACTTTCGCTGCACGTGCTGACTCGTGCAGACGGCCCAGCAAGTCTGTCCCGAGGGCGGCTGACTCACCCAGCCGCCCACGAGGCTTTGGATGGTCTCGGGAAGCTCCCGGGGAGGGACCCGCTACCACTGCTCGCTCATACCAGGCGGGCGAGAATCCTGGCTCGGCGTTCCAACCCGCCAACGTTCACTCCGCCGCCAGGAGGGCCCCGCCGGCTCGGCTCTGCTATAATCCCCGACAGACGCCGCCTCCCGCCCAGGCCCACTTCCCGCCCAGAATGCCCCGCAATCCAGCTCTGGCCCGGCTCCCCCCTGTTGCCTCCCGACACGCGCCCTGCGGCCTCGAAATTGCTCAAGAGGAAGCCACGGAAAAGACCCTGAAAGCTGGCACTAACTGCCCGGGGCGTGTGTGTGTGCGCGCTGGGCGGCGGGGGCGAAGCCGGCGTGGTCTCCCCCTGGCGCATGCGCCCAGGGGGCGGCCGTACATCTCGTCTCCGGTGACGTGGCGTGCGGGGCGGAGCCAAGGTTGGCGGCGGGAGGGTGGGGAGGAAGAGCGAGGTGAGCGCGGACGTCAGAGTGGAGAGCGGAAGGTCAGGGAGCCTCGGAGCGGAAGTGAGACTAAGAAGTCTGTCCGCCATTGTGGACCCGAGAAGCGGAGAGCGAGAGGGGAAGAGTAGCGTGCAAGCGAAAGAGACGGGCCCCTTCCAGCGACTCCCGAGCGCGAGGCCCTGTTTCTGGCTTCTTAGAGAACAGCGGCAGCGGCGGCGGCTGGAACAGTCAACTCGGCCGAGGGCGGCAGCCGACTGCCTCCTCAGACCAGACGGGAAGAATATTCTTAAGTAGGGTATTGGAATTTAAACCGCAGTAAGCATCCTAAGAAACACAGCAGCCTAACTGCGACACCGTTTCTCTTTCTTTCCAGGGCGGCAGGGGCGGCGGCGGCGGCAGCAGCAGCAGCAGCAGCAGCAGCAGCAGCAGCAGCTCTCGGGTTGCGGTGAAGAATGTCAGCCACTAGCGTGGATCAGGTGAGGGAGCCGAGGCCTCAGGCTCGGCAAAGGCCCGAGCCCTGGAGCTCCACCCTCGCGTGGGGCTTCGGCTCCACTCCGTCGCTGCCGGCACTATAACGGTGCCCCGGGCGCACGTTGTTGCGGTCCTGCGGCTGGTGCTGGGGCGTGCGTCCTGGCCCCGGCGTCTGCGGCTCAGGCGGGAGGCCGCGGGGCCGCGGCGGGTCGGGGAAGGACCCTCTTCCGGGCCCTAGGCCGCATCCCGAGGGCGGCAGACATGGGGCTGAGCCCAGGCGAGCTCGGGAGACGGACATCGAGTGGAGGGTAGGAGCTTTAAAGACTGGGGGTGGTTGGGAAATTGGTGGCTATGGAGGATATGGTGGCTTTTACTCCTACGCGGTTTAAAATAACTGGTCTTTGATAACGTCTTTGATTAACAGACTTTTCCTCTTTTCTTTTTTTTTCTTTCTCATTACGACACCTTTCGTCTCGTTACACAGAGACCTAAAGGGCAAGGAAATAAAGGTGAGTTTGGATATTTTTATTTTACTCCCCAATGTTGAATGTTATTTTTTTTTTTTACGTAGGAGGGGTTGGTGGTTTTTGCTTTTTTTTTTTTTTTTGACATGTACGATTGAAGAAAGATTTATCACGGCTAATACATCCAAAAGCTTTCCAAAACTTCGGAAGTTCCTTGCTTTGAAGCCACTTATAGAAACCAAAATGGTACAAGAAACAGTTTCCTTAGTTGTATTTCAGTTCAGGAGGTAAATGACTCTAGTGATGTTTATTTAATTTTGCAATTTATCTGTATTATGTAACTTCTGCCACAAAAATTTCTATGTATGTCTGTAGATAAAATGTGTAGATACTTTGTTTGCCACGTCGGTTGCATTGGAGCATGCAACCACATAGTATTCCATGTCACATAAGTGAAAATTGTTCTGTTAACCACTGATTCTATTGAAGTAAGTTGGCAATGAGGCAATAACACGTTAAAGATCAAAACTGGACAGTCCTGAGTGCAGGGTGAGAATCAATTTGATATTTTAGAAAGGACTGTGAAGGAAATGGTTTATGAAGTTCCTTTTAGAATTAAGTGATTTACTATTTAGTTTAAAAAATACTATTGAAAGTAAAGCATTTTAAAAAATAAGTGTATTTTGTATTTATTTATAAATACACTTAAAAAATAAGTGTATTTTGTATTAATATGAAATAATACAGTCAGCTGACTGAAACATTATGACATTGATCATGTGACGAGTAAGTATAGAACAATAACTGCTTTCTTGGGACAGTGCCAATTAAATAATATTACGAGTTATATATTTATAGTAGTTTGTAATGGGGTTTGAAATTAGACTAGAATTATGCTTCCTGTTTTTATTTCAGTATCAAAATATTGTCTAGAAAATAAGGTCTACAATACCTTTTTAGATGTAAATCAGTCTTTTATTGGTGCTGTTTGTAGTCTTCAGCGTCTTATTTGCTATAGCAGATTTGAAAGGAATAGGTACTGTATATACAGCTTAGTTAATTTTCTTTGAGTTGTACAATTTGAGAATTTGTACATACCAGATATGTGGCACTATATTAGGTAACAAATTTATTGTTTTGTTTTGATTAAAGAACTATTTTATTGGAGTGTATAAACATTTAGACATTTTAATTTCTAGAATTTAATTTTTGGAGTTAAAATTTTAATTTCAGAATTTGTTATGAGCATAAAACTCAGTTTGATATTTATTGTTGATTTATTTTAAGTGAGTTTTACAAAAGCTTATTTGTAAATTGAAAAAGAATGATCTTTTTTTTTTTTTTTTTTTTTTGTTGCTAGCCTTCCCATTAGGAAGTATATAGACTTGGAGATATGTGAAATTTGTGGTCATTATTGCCTAGCATAAATTATTTTATCCTAGATCTGTGGGGAGGTGGCACTTTGCAAGGCTATTTGAAATGCTAAGTGTTTTGTGTTACCTGCTTTAAGGTAAGTGTGCAAGTTCTATGAAGTACTTGTTTGACAAAACAAAGTAGCATCTATTTAGTAAGTCATTACTATAAATTTGATTTATGACAGTCATTTCACTTAGGTATGGCGTAATGACAGCTTTGATATTTTAGATATAAATTACCTATAAACAGTATTGCCTATTAACCATAGATAAATATTTTTTGGTTATTAAAATGGTTTTAATACATCAGTATCACCTTGGTTGGATGTATTTAGACACATATACAAAATATTTATTCAGATTCTTCTTTATTTCAAGAAATTTTCTTTCTCCCTGATTATTCAGTTCATAATTTCATCCGTGGGTAAAGTGATAGACTGGGATTCCTAGATCTGTGTTGTGATACTGCTTGTGGCTGTTACCTGCCAACTCAGCTTGAACATGTGGTACCTTTCCCTTCTATAAAGTAAAGGTAGTGATTCTAGTCACAAATCCTATTGTATGTTATGAGGATTGTTGTACTTACAGTAGTCCATTGTTCTGGAGTCATTATATTTGCTGGATTATTTTTTTTTCAACTTCCTCACCTCATTTGTTTTTAGGGTGCAGGGAGACTATTGCTTAAGACATGGTGGGAGGGAAAAACTACTGGCCTGAAAGTATTGGTAACCATTTAAGATGCTTTAAAATGGTAGATACTACAACTGCACAAATACACATATACATCATTTGTATTTTTATGCCTCTGCAGGGAGAATTACGAGGCGAAGGCAGCACTTCCAGTGAACTGATACAAGTAGCTATTTGTGTGTTTGAGAAAAGCTATTCTGCCTTAGCTGACTTGGTTCCCAAGCTAGTGAAGTTATTTTATAGTTACTCTGTTTACTTTTATGAAGCAGAAAACAAAGTTATTTTTCTTAAACTGCAGCCTCAGTATTCTAAGAACATGATTATTAAACTTGAATTTGGAACTTAACAGACTTATGAAGAATACATGTCCCTGAGGAGTTGTCAGAGTTTTGAAAGCAAAATCCATTTCAGTTAATATAATTTCAGAGATGCTGTGTTTCTTTTTTGAATTATATTTAGTCGACAGCCTTAGCTTTATACCTGGCTTCAGTGTCTTTGATTTCTGCTAAGTGTTTTGTGTGTATCTTTAATGATGTAAATGCACTAAAGGAACTAAAATTTGAAAGGAATTCTATATCAATATCTTTGTAAGACAAAAATGCTTTCGTAGTATAAAACGTAGTTTATAGGTTTACTTGTTTATAAGTTTGAATTTTTTTTAATTGATTGATTGTCCCTGTGTTAAGTATTAAAATTCTTTTTATTCTTGGCCAAGATAGTAATGAAGGATAGTAAAATTTAAGGATGGTTATTTACCTATTGGTCCATAATTTAAAAGTGACTTTATATCACTTTTGTTTATTAACAACAATTTTTGCTTGCTGGAATAAAAGTGTACTGTTCCTTCTCCTGCAGGCACCTCAGAGAAAAGTGTCAGATCTCATACTCTTTGTAGCCTCAGGCCTTGCTGCCTGCTTCCTTCTATCTCTTAAGTTTATAAATAGGCAAGTATATGGAAAGGAATTTATATTTTTGCTCCTCTCTACTCTCTTCCCCTCCCAGCATAGAGACATATTTCATTGTTTGGTACAACTGCAGTTTGAAAGAATTAGGTTAAATTTGGCTATCTCTAAGTGTTTCAGAAAAGTTGTTGAAAATGCCTTGTATTTTGGCAATATTCTTTTGCAACCTCTCCCCACCCTCCCACCTGGAAATGATTACAAAACACTTAACTGTCATTTTTAGTCCTCATTTTATTATTAATCCTCAAAACATTCTTATAAGGAGATAGAGGGTATATGGTATTGTCGCTGTTTTTGTAGGTGGGAAAACATGATGCACAGATCTGTTGACTTTCCTAACTTGATGTAGTCAGACCAGAGCAAAGAATCACCTGGCTCCTAAGGCCCATGTTCTATCTTGATTTGACTCTGCTTCATAGAGCAGAGGAAACAGGCGAAGACTCATGTAAGTCATCTGTTCTTTTTTCCCTGAAGAACTTGTACAGACTATGGAACAGGCTTGGATTTCATTACTATATAATGACTTTCAGTCTCCAAGACATTAGATTGTCATTAAGTAATGTTCAAAAACTAAAGTCCTTAAGACAGTTGAATTTCTTAAATGTATGCTTCTGAAATTCAAGGGCTAGCTTCTTACTCAGATTCTAATTTAATTCAAATTGCTTGTCAGTATGCGTAAAACACTTTTAATTAAACAGTTTCCCCTTAGATTGACATACTCCTTGAATAATCGTTTAGGAATCCACTTATAAATGATTGTAGACTATTAGTTTGTGTGAATGTTTTGTTCTCAGTCTCAGCCTCTTAGAAGAAGAGAAAGGATAGAACACAGGAAATAAGAACAGCAGTATAATACATATTTAGATAAATTTTAAGTAGGTACTTTTTACTGTACTAGCAGTATGGATTAAATTTCTGAGATTCTAATGAAAGCAAGAAATAGATTGTTGTAATTTTGAAATGGGTTGCTGTTTCAAAAACATAATAGTGTAATAATCCAATCATGTAGTGAAGAATTATATTTTAAGAGGCAATAGACCATGCATAAAGCTACCTTTGATAAAGGAGTGGTGAAGCCAGTGGTAAAGGAGAAGTATGTTAGAATCTCTTGGGCTGACATGATCAGCCTACCAGAAATAACCTAAGGTATCCACCCACCTCCTTATTTTCATTTCTAGTGGCTGTTAACATAAATTCTGGAGAGTACATTTAGGTCAAACCTGTCTATGATATAATCCTTATTATATGAAGTTAAAGCATCTCGGTGGAGCCAAGATCAAGTTGACCTTCAGGTTGCTCTTGTAGTCCTTGAGGGGCAACAGTAATGTCCTAAGAGGTTTACTTTGATGGCTTCACAGCATAGCATCATTTCTTTGATTATTGCTACTCAGTGGGAGGCAGAGAACTAAAGGATTTCACCTGTCTGCTCCCATGCTGTTGTCAACTCATTACATTGTAGGTGATCTAAACTCCAAATTAGGGAGAATAAAAATCATATGCTGTTATATAAGAACACAACTTAAATCCCAAGCATAGTTTATAATACTTTGTGACACTTTTTTAAGCAATAAATCTTCAGGTATTGAGGTTTTGTTTGTTTCTAAGAGATTAGTCAACATTCATCAGAAAGGCTCAACTTTTTTCACCTCACATGTGTTTCAAAATTAGTGAAGTCTGGTATATTTACATAGACGATGCCAGCGCATCAAGTTTTAGCCTTGTAAAACTTCTGTGGTCCTAAAGTAATTTTTAGTCCTCTTTGGATCTTGTAATAATTTTATGTAATAATAATATCCAAGATCATACTGTCATTGAATGCTCAGATGAGGTGAGGTAGGTACGTACTATTCATAACCTCCTTGAGCAGAGGAGTAGTCAGACTTACAGAGCCTGAATCACTAACTAGAGATTGCCCAGCTTCTCAGTGTCGGACTTAGGATTCAGACTCAGGGCCGCCTTACCTCAGGTGTGCTGAAAAGCCTCTGAGACGTTGCCAAGAGAATAACCTTACAGAGCTTTAATGGAAATGATCTCTGAACAAATAAGGCATTATATATTGTTGACAGGTTTTCTTGTGTTTTGCAAGAGTAATCATGGTTATCTGGTTATCTTTAGTGTCTGAATTTTATTTGTACTTTCATGTGAAAGCCTAATTTTTTTTGTTTAGAATTAAAGCCCTTTTTAGATTTTTTTCATAACTATGTTCATTGTGATATTGCTTCAGGTGAATTTTAGTTACTTTATAACTGGAGACATTTAAGATATTGTAACTTTAGTTACAAAATAGTTATTTCAATCTTTACTTTTATTGGCCTAATACAGAGATTTAACAAAGTTAGAGAACATTCTAATATAGAGATTTAACAAAGAGAAATCAATGTCTACAATGCTATTTGAAGTGATATTTTGAATTCAAATATAGTGTTGAGAGAACTCTTGCAACATTTTAAACTTAGTTTGCTTACTACAGTGTTGTAATTGGGATATTTACTTTATGTTCTTGGTAATGAGAAGTGTATATGTCCTTCGTATTTTTCTAATCTTGGGCTTATCTGTACAAGATCTGTAAATTTTTGGTGGCACATAAATATTTGTATCCAAAATTAAGTTAATCCTTAAGAGTTTTTAAAAGAAAAGGACAAAGAAGTCAGGATAACGTTTTACGAATAGGTCCGAAAAATACTGAAAATGTTAGGTTGCTCTGTGAGTTTCATAAGGATAATTACATCATATCTAATACAAACGTATTTTTTAGTTTCAGTACAAAACGGTTCGATTCATCAAAAAGATGCTGTAAATGATGATGATTTTGAGCCATACTTAAGTAGCCAGACAAATCAGGTAAGTCTGATGGTCCCATATTTAGGAAATTGAATTTATATTAGTAGTAATTGAGTTTTCCAGTAGATATTTTAATTGAATAAGACTAACCATAACATGAATTAATCTAGTGTGCCTGCATAATAGTGAATAGCATTTGCAGGTTTATGTCACAGGAGAGTTCTTTAAAAATTATAGACAGCTGAAACTAGATTATGAAATACAAAGATTTAAAAATGAACATTATTTGTACGTATTGTAATTTTTTTGAACGTTGAAAGAATTTAATCTTTTAATATCAGTCATATTTTCATAGCTTAAGATATTACAAGATTTAATTGGCTAGAGATTTGTGAGAGGACTACTTTGTGCCTGAGGTTTTCGATTAAATGTAGTTTTTTAAAGCATTCCAATTTGAATTTCACTGAAGTTTTACTATAACCTGGTAATGTAATAGATAAAGATAAATAATAAAGTCTTTATAAACACCTGCTGTGGTGTAGGCATGGAGAAGTTCATCAAATTGAATAATTGGTGGCTTTTTAAGGTTTTTTTGGTATGTGTTTGCATTTTTCACAAATAATCTTGTGAATTTGTATACAGGTATAGTTTAAATTTAACCATTGAAAAACAAATGGTATTCTTTGGTCTCTGTATACCATTTCTGCATGTTAGTAAAAATGTAGCTACTAGAAATAAATTTAAAAGACTTCCATTATTAACCAGTTACTTTAGAGAGAACATTCTGGAATGAAACTCCTTTTGTCATTTTGCTTAATAAAAGATATAAGAAAAAATGTATCTTAAAATCTCAGCCTCTGTTTTTTTAAACTATAAAAGAACCAGGCACCAAATATTACAGAACTTTACAGTTGTAGAGCAAATGTGAACAAAACATTTCCAATTTGTGGGATGTAGAATTATTTTTATGACTTTGGAGAGCCATGGTTATGTTCAGCCTGATTTACTCTCTTGGTAGTTTTTCCTTAACCACCCCTTCTATCTCTTGATCTGCATTCCTGGCATAGGTTGGGAGGGAATAAATAAATGATAAAGAGGAAAAATGGGTGATAAGATCTATGAAAGCTTGGCTACTTTTAAAAGAATGAAAAAGTTCATTTCATATTTATATAATATACTTTATGATCACAATAACGAATTTACTTTCCACTTAAAGGTGGTGAAAGACTGTATCATTGGAAAATAGGGGAAGATCATTTGTTATAAATGTAGTGCAACATAAAAGAAAGATACAGTATTATATCTGGGCCCATACAGTAACCTTAGCTAATATCCTTTATGGCAGTGTTTTCCAACTTCTTTGAGAAATTCTGATATTTATGAGGTATAGTAGATATTCTCCCCAAACAGGTCTTTATGATCAGATGAGTTTGGGAGATTTATTTGGTCTAAATAATTGTTTTATTTGCTATTTGATTTTACTTTATTATATAAAATATAAAATGAGTTTCTAAGATAAGGATATAGTATGCAGATCCTTTGACTTATTTGTTCAAACTCTTTTCAGGTAATTTTAGTGGATCATAAATGTTTGAGAATTGCTACTGTAAGAATCCTTGTTTTACTTGGTAACAGATATTTTATAATTCATTTGTCACAGGGGCTTAGAAGAATGATTATTTGGCATTCCACAGAGGTGCTTCAGGTCTGCTTAGGGGAGACCAAGGGAGGGTACCCTGGATCCCACCCCTGCTGCAACCAGAGCTGTGCTCTGCTTTTTATCTGTTTTATATGTTGGAATTTTGCATAAGGTTTCACTTGTAAAAATCTCAAAAGTGTTGGAAAATTATTTTTTT